ACTGGCAAGTGATTTCTGACACTGGAGGCCGGAAGGTCTGAGTGGGCAGCATGAAGGAAGTTAAGCAGAATGGTCTTGTTTGCAAAACAGGATGTGGTTATTGTGTAACTGCTGGAGGGCCCAAAGAAGCTCTCAAATACAGCACCTAAATCCTGAGAGATAAAGAGGGTATTTACTGAACTATAATATTAAAAGGCCTTTTACTGTTCCAACTGATGTCCCAGTGAACCCAACACATTTTTTCACTAATTTGCTGGACAAAATTTTTTGAAACATTTTCACAGGAAGAGCTGTAGTCCCAGAGAACATTGATTCCTTGAATGGCATTAACCTGAAAGCACGAGGGAGAGGAACTAGGGTTGGTCCAGCCAAGTGTATATTGTATCACTTAATGTTTGCATGTATCGATACAAGGTTGCAATAATGAATGAGGTGCTCCTCTTAGGCACTAAGATAAACTGAAAATCAAATCCAATCTTTCCTCTAAAAATATACAGTTCAAATAAAGAATGCATTCACAGACCAAGTATTTAGAAAGTAAGAAAAAGAAGAGACTGCAGTATGCATAAAGAAAGCTTTTAATGTCTTTTAATTTGTCACCAGTTTTGAGGGGGTTGTTGCTGTGATTAATATTCCTGTTAAAAAAATCAGGTTAGTTGTACTATCAAAGTTGTATCTAGGAGGGTTTGCAGAGCCTGGCCTAAAACATACTGAACAGAAGGTCTCAAAGGGACTATAACTTACGTTCTTAAAAGTTATATGTGTACCTGTCTTTACCTGTAACAGCTTATATTTACCATTCAAACATGGCCAAGTTCTACCAGCTTCTTCCCCAGTTCAGTGTGTTATAATAAGGATGTGTGAATAGATGGGAAAATAGACATTACTTCGATAACTTAGACACAGTTAGCTAAAATATGTTACAGATAATTATCATATAATTATCATATTCATCTCTTAAAATTAAGTTGATTTTCACACCAGATATTTACTGAACCTCATTTAAATTAGCTTCTTCCTTTTTCCTAGGACTTTTGTCATCTTTGGAAGCATTCTTTCACATTTTACGAAGATGATGTCAGGAAATGTCTGTCCTAGTAATGTAATGAACAGCTCTGTGAGTTCACTTTGCAAGAATATGTGAACTATCTTGGTTTCTTTCGAATGCTTGTATATCATGTACCTGCTGGCAATACAGCTGTTAATTAACAAAAACTTAGAGGTCTAAGAAGAGTTTGTGGGATTTTTTACTTCTGAGATTATGAAGATGGCTGCATTGTAGCAATTCCACTGCATTTGGATTATGCCCATCCCTCAGTGCACTACGGCACAGGACACTGAGCTAACACAGCGTGCCTGGCCTCAGGCTGGAAACACCACCTGAAAGGACCATGTTCCAGCCTGCAGAGCTTTCTACTGCTAAGGCATTCATACTGAGGCTAGGAAATGTGAGCCAGCGTCCTGATTCACATCTCTACAAGTTTTCCCTCCAAAAGGGATTGATCAGTTAATTTTAGCTGAAAAGAAGTTCAATAACGTGTCGCAAATAATTATGACCTTCATGAATAAAGAAACATGACTAAGATGGAATAGTATCTACTGCCTGACCACTGACTATCCCAAACTGCAAGCTCTCAGTAAAAGAAAAATAAAAGCAAATACAGAATACTCTACAACAGGGCTATTAGAACGAAACGTTTGGCTCTGTGCCACCTGTTTAAATTGGTTTTGCAGCCGTAAAAATGAATGGAAGCACCTTCGTAACCCCGGCGCTCGCTTTGCTATGGCAGAGCTGGCCGCGACTCCGCCGGGCGGTGTTGGGCAGCTTTTCCGCAGCCTCT